TATGCATTCTGAAATGGCTCAACTAATTCATAACTAAGAGAAGCTGAAACAAGCTCTTTCAAGTACACTGTGTTGGAAGAAGTTAAATCAAATAAATGACAACGCTAAAACCAGGAAAAAGATACGAATCCAATTCTGTGGCCCTTAGGAGCTGAGAATAGTACTCTCTATAATTTACTAACATCACTATAAAGAAGGACACAAAGAACAGTTAGACTCTTAATAGAGACAAATTACCAATCAAAACAGAGTAATCTATACGGTTAATCTGGAGTGTACCTTGCCCTGCTTCCATAGTTTTTCAGAGCTTAAAGAATTAAGAAACCAAACCAAAACTTTGCATGGGGACATAGTTTGGTGTAATCCATGTCATGATAAAACAAGGAATCTCTCAACCAAAATGGATAAAACCAGTAACTGTGTGTATCTATTGCTGAGCTGTGAGCTCTTGTGTTAGCTTTATGCTAAGCATCACGCCATCCACTTTCTCCTCTCTCGTATTCTGTAATGCTGCCGTCACATGACAAACACCTAGTGATGAACATGAAATCACAAACTGGATAATTTCTATTTGGATGTTACTTTTTGGCTCCACTTATTCCTGCAGCTGGAGCATTTCCTTCCAGCAGCTCTACGCTGTTTTGTGAGCAACATTGGCAAAATGCCACAAATTTATGGGAAACTTTGGAGGGGCTTAGTGTTAAAGACTTCTACTTTCAAATCAGTACAGCTTGAATCAATAACACTGTTACTAAATGTATACAGGCTGGAAATTTTACAAAGCAAAACCATTTGTATGTAACATCAAAAACAGCACCAGGTCCTCTTTCCATAAGAATGCAAATCACATTTTGAGTAAGGCCAGAGAGAAAACCAAGATTACTTTGTGATGGTTTTCTGCAAAGTTCGCTACACTATTTGCTTGATAATGAACGTCAGTCAGATTGTCATGTACTTCAGGCTTCATCAACAAAATGCTACACACTGCAAAAAAATGACTTTAGCACATTGGAACAAAGGTGAAAAATAGCACACATTATTATTTGATTTTCTGCAAGTAATAATTCATAAAAATATTATTTTACTATAAACTAAATTCGTGTTTCTAATGCATATTAAATATAGAGTCAGAACTCCTTCACTGGATTTCAAGTTCTTAACTTTCATAGTTTTATATTCATTGCAGCAGATTTTTGGTTTTATTTCACTTCCATATCAGCAGACAAAATACAGTATGCATTTCTGGGGGAATAACAGCCAGGAAGTGATAAGACTTTTTTTAATGCAGCTTGAGAAAACACCTTGCTCTGTCTAACCACAAATTCCAAAACAGGGAAGGAAGGTAGAAAAGATGAAGGGTGCTGTTAGAAGAATGAGCATGGATTCATGTGTACGAAATATTGGCTAATCCTGTGGTAAGATTTTGCTTCCATCAGAAATAATAAATGGGAAGAGATTGCTAAATACATTTCCACTGCAAAGGGAAGAAGCAGTTTCTGGTACGTTGCACTTGCAACAATCTGAATTTTTTTTTGGCTTGCCATTATTTACAGTATCTTGTTTACATTAGTAATAAATAAAAGACAAACAGCATCTTCTGTTGCCTTTCAAGTCATATTTCAATGTGCTCTCCAGACTGGACATGCTATTCATATAAGCATGTTCAGGCACACCCAGAGAAAGCCTTATGATCAAGTACACGCAGTGCCTCAGTGTACTGGAAGGCCTTCCAAGCACGACACGCAGACGTTGTCTATGGGCACTTCAGATGGGAGTCAGCGTGGATGGGAGATGAAAAGCTCAGAAAGCACATCATGCTCATGGCTGCTCCGAGTGTGCTTTTTAAGAGCTGTACACACTAACAGTAACTGGTGAATAGGTACAAGCAGTCTTCTCCTGGCTTTTGTACATCTATAAAAGTATGGCCCCAATTGTAAGTAATTAAAGGATGTATTGGTCAGGTCAGGCTACAAAAGCTGTAGCACACAATAGGAGATAGCTAGGTTTTGTGGCTCCAATTCCCATGTGATATAACAGTTACAGTACTACATAGCTCTCGGTCCCTCTCCTCTCTTCTTACATTTAGACTCTGGCTGCTCTTCTCAAGTCCATAGCTATGCTTTTGAATCAGCAGGAGTAACTGGAAACTGGACATGGAGGCAGAGAGCAGTTGCTTTTGCCACAGGTCTTGTAAAAAACTTGCTGGGAATTCTTCAACAAAACTGTACTTCTCAGAATTTAAACTTTTCACAGGAGTTTACCAATTTTAGCGTAACTTTCAGAGGGAAAAGTATCTCAAGTCAAAGTCTGGATTTCTGACAAAGGTAAGGAAGAGAAGCCTGGCCAGCAGCCCAGGATATACGTACCAGCCTGGTGCATCAAAGACAAGCATTCAAGGTCACACTCAAGTGAACCCAAGACAGTGTTTGTAATGTTTTACATAGAACACTGTACTTACTACAATACCTACATTTTCCAGATTGCTACCAATATAGAACCTGCTTGGGTGCATGAGACTCCTGGATGTTGGCTCAAATGATGACATTTACAACACTGACACCATTCCTACAGAGCCATCTTTCCTGAGTAAGTCAGAAGTACGGTGCTGCTTGAATGCCCAGCATGCCTAGAAACCTCAGTCTTAGGGAAGATGTAAATAGGAGCTTATCATGAGCATGGAGAAGCAACAACTGGAACGTCACCTAAGGACTGTGAAAGTGCTCTCGCAACATCCATTTGATAATGATGCTACTCCAATGAGTTCAGTGAAATTATCCTTAATTTACACAGGGGTCAGAGAAAAATGAAGCTGTTTAAACTGTAAAAACCTACCTTGTACACCTCATCATGCAAATTAAATTTAAAAAAACCCATGGAAATAGTCCAAAGAACTTTCTCTGCATGTGGCTGCAAGTCACTGAAGTCACTTAGTGAGACGGGAGAATGGCCATTATTCTTTTCACTTGGCCAGTTCATATTGTGACACTAGGAGAAAGACAGTCTGTCAAGTTTTTGTCTGCAGTGTTTAATTTTTCACCACACTGCTCCTGCCCTCCCTCCATTGTGTCAGGAGTGCATTAGGTGTTGGAAGGGCAACAAGAGACTCAGCCAGTGGGTGGAGAGGCTGGAGAAGGGGAACTGAATTATAGGCAGCCTGCAGAGTCTGTCTGAAAGGCTGTGCTGTTTCTCTTTATGGTTGATATGCATCTATGTCCCCATGCCACGTTACATGGAAGGGATTAGAAATAGGATTTCTGATATTTCAGCTGACATGTCAGGAGAGATCATTTCATGCAACTGTCTATGTTGCAACCTAAATACAAATATTCCACCTTTTAAAGGGATTGTACTTATTTTCATCTGTACTCCTAGGCTCAGAACCTTATTCTGCAATGACTGATACTGCAACGAAATGCACTTCAAAGATCCTAATTCATAGGTAATGTTTTGTAGCTGTAGGTGTACCTTACTAACTCCCCAGTGACTTAAATGACTACATGAAATGAGAATAAATGTTAAAATAGCTCCAAAATCTACACGTATCACAGCTGATAAAAATTTAGAAGTTCCTTTGTAAATCAAAAATCAAACATCAGTGTTTTGTTTTATTTTGTTTCAACCAAGGCCAAGAAAATAAAGAAACGAAGTAACAGAAAAATACCTCAGCTTAAGTGCGTGGCATCAAGGTCACTGACTATAAATATAAATAATGCTGCTGCACGTAAATCTTAAACAGCTTACTGCAAATACTAACATAACTTTACAGTATTTACAAGATTAATCTTCTTAAGAAAATTAAAGGATCATAATATCAAACAAGATATGTCCTATATAGTATTTTACTATACATACAGCAGTAACATGACAGCATATATGCACTTTAGAGATATCAAGTAACTATTGCATGAAGATGGTAACACTGCATACCAAATAGTAAGCACAGCAACAAATCTTAGGACTATCTGATCTCCTCATACATAAGATGTTATTAAACTCTTGATAGCCTCATTGTATGTCTAATGGGAAATGGATCATTTTTCATGCCTTTGCAGAAATATGTATTGAGTATTCCAACTATAATGTACAGACGCAAGATTTTCTGACTGTTGACTGTTGAGGCAGCAGACATTCCAGAAATACTACAATGCAGAAAGAATCCTTGGATCCTGCCCTTGTGACAGAATGAAGGTACTTTTGCTGGGCTATAAGCATTTCTAGCACTCTTGCAACGGCATTTTCTATGTTGAACTCATGCAGTCCACAGTCTGCACCAGTTAAAATTTAGCATCGTTCTGTTGGTTCAGATGAGCTATGTGCTTTATACTAGCTAAAGGATCTGGTTCACTGCTATTAAAGTTTGTCCAGCATGAGAAAGAAATCTCCCAGTGAAGGCAAGCAATGTCACCGTAAGAATCCAGTTAGTAGTTTAGACCAGTAGCCATTCTTCTTCTGGGGCACTGAATAGTGATAGAAATCTTAAGTAGAAAGTAAAAAGCTCTAGGTAGTAAGAAAAATCAAGCTCCCTTTCCCTTCCAAAAGGCTAACAATGTTTGATTTATGCCAGTATTTTAACACAGCCATGTAAAGACCTTGCACGACAGAACAAATACACTGAAGAGAAGCCCAGTTTGGGCCTGCAATTATACATTATTATACATATACAATATTACCTGCATATACATTAGAATGTTTCTGTCAGAAGCATAAGCTCATCTGCACTGTGTGTAACTTCTACTTTCCCTAATGTGTAAATAGATACTGTAAAGGGACCATGCACATGTTTATATGACACACAACAAAAGACCTTGGTTCTCTGGAGGACGTTCCTGTCACTTTCTCTGCTGTGGCTCCCCAAGCAAAAGCTGTTGCCTTGACAACTCTGGGGCTTTCTCTGGCTCCACGTATGCCGGTAGGAAGAAGGCCAATTTCCTTGCACAAAAAACAGAACTGCTAAGAAATAAACAATCAACAACTGTTCTGATTCCCTCAGTACTGCCAAAATGAGGAAGAAAATGAAGAATCTTGCTACAGGCACAGGATTTTATAAGCCAGAAGCAGAAGGATTCAAGCGCCAAGGATTCATAGACACAGGTGGGGAACAGAAGAAACCGCAGTTACTCAAGACTTCAGCAAAACACTGGGAATGGCTATGGCTAAGGTCAGGCTAAGGTTCTTCTCTTTCATCAGCTTTGTATAACTGTAAGGCCACTGACCTTCCATGGTATTGCCCTTGCTTTACCATCACACTGCTTATAAAGAAAGTGATAAAAATTTAAAATAAAATAATATAAAAACCAATATAAAAATATTAAAAGGATCCATTTGCAATTTCCACTACTTTTGCATGTAACCTTTGATAATATTAAGTAGGATTAACTTTCTTTATCCAGAATTTTGTGCCTCATTTTTCTTTTTTGAGTACAACTCTTCTTTAGGTAAGGGTATTTCTGAACTAAGAAAGAGGACACAGGAAAACGGATGGTCAGGAAAGAGATCGCAGTAGCTGCACTTCACTAGAAAGAAGAGTAGACAGAGACACTGTTTACGTGTAACACAGAGAAAACTATAAGCATGCTGCCTTGAAGCTCTGGTCTTTTCTGTACACTGTAACTGAGCTGGGGCCTATTCAGCTACCGAATACTCAGCTGTGTGGTCATTCTATATTAAAAATCTCACCATGTCCAGGAGGAAAATCACAATCCTTGAAAGTCAAAGCTTGTACATAAAAATATAGATATATTGTCATAAACTTTAAATTCTACAGCTCTCATGGCTTTTGGCATTTCTCTCTTATCAAACCTTCCCCTCCTTTAAGGGTGAGTCAAATCACAAGCTATCTGTATTGCCAGTACATATCTGCGGTAACAGGTTATGCGTGTCCTTTACCAAAATGAAATAATTTTGGAAAGTATCCATTAGAAATTAGAGCTGGATTTTGAAAGTCAATAGAAGTTAAAAATACAGGAGGAGCTACTCACAATTTCATGATGCCAACAGAATCTGTAATAAAAAAGCAATGTACTTTGAATTCCAAAGAGACTGCAGTATGTCACTGGACATCTCTGCCAAAAGTACCCAACACCACTGAAGCTCTAGCATGCATTTTATTTGTTTATTGTATCTTATTCAAGGAAAGGATAGACAAAGGCTACCGTAGTAACCCTTCTGCCGGCAGTTAAATTTAACATGCAGCCATGTATGGCCAGGCTTCACGATACACCAACCTGCTAGTCAAACTAATGGCATTTCTATTTTAAGTTAAATGGAAGGGCATTAGGGTAATAAAACTCCCTATATTGACCACTGACATTGTTTATTACATAAAAGGTAACTGTTTAGAGAAGATTCCCTATGCTTTTGCTGCAGAAAATGCCTTGGGTTGCTGTTAACCCGTCTCCCATTACAGTGCAGCCACATATGTACCACTGCTCACAGAAGCATAGAGAGCCTTCTGCATGATTGAGGGCAAGAACTTTGTAATGCACTACCTTTATCTGCCATATTTCAGTCTACAGCAGTAAATTTTGTACGCTTTTACTGACTACTCGCTGGAAATATGGTAAAGATGTGGCCTTTTATACAAAGATAAAGTACACAGAAATGATATCCAGAGAAAATATGGTAATAGAAAAGAACAGGCTCAAACAACAATGAACAGCTCACAGTCAAATCCAAAAGCATTAGAAGGCTGTGTTGGTAGAGTACAAATCCATCTTGGATCAAATTATTCACCCATTTACTGTGGTCCCTCGCTTGGCCTGGCAGTTACTTCAACTGTGGAATGCTACTTATGGGTACATTCACAATCCTTACATATTCTCTACAGCACGGACTGTAGAAAGGAAGAACTGGATACAAGCTACCCCATATAAACAGAATAGCAATTACTTTCATATAGATGTTAAAGTTGTGTCTGAAAATAAAACACGAGTAAAGAATTCTCATCTCCTGCTTTGTATTCTGGCCAGTCTGAGGCAAGTCACTTAACCTCTTTGTGCCTCCTTTTCATCGTCTTTAAGACAAGGGTCATACTACTGCCCTTATGGGACTCACTGCCTATTTTTTAGATCTGATAGGGCCTTGAATTTTCCTGTTATGTGTAACACACAAGTGGAGCTTGGTAATTCTACGCACTCTTGTATGACAATGCTCTCTCATTAGGCCATCTTAACATGGAAAAAAACTGATCTGCCAAGCAAAAAGTTATGTTAGGAAAACTCACTTAGGCAAAAATTACCCACAAACAGGGAAAAGCAAATCTGATCTTTAACACATTCTTGATGAACTCACTTGAGCAGACTGAAGGCAGAAATTAATGTCACTGGATAGGCCTATCTGCAGAAAGAGTTTTTTCCATCCTGTTTAAGAAACAAAGAGAAGGAATTCTATTCTTAGAATTATTTTTAGAATTACAATCTGAAATGCCCAAGTTCAAGAAATTGAGAAGCAAAAGTATATTTTGCCCTCTTTTTTCTTACCAGTTCTGATTCACCATTGCATGACACAATTTTTGCAACTTACAGTGAAATATTGCAATTAGTTTAATCCTATAGGGATGTAAGCTACTTTGTACATGCGTAAATAAAGCTGCTTTATGCTAAGCAATAAGTCTCAGTCTCTTCCCCAACACTGTTTAAAGCAATTTTGATTATAATTAGCAACCTCTCAGAACGTAATTATTCTATGACTGGCGATTTTGCAGTAAAGACTCGCTTCCTGTCATATAGGTTTTGAACAGAAAGGTCATTTTGGCTAACAATTTCCATTATTTTATCTCCCTCTACTCCACAAAGTTAAAAGCTTGAGTTAACACATGACCTCTTAAGGGAAAGGAACACGTTTTCTTCTAGGGTTTTAGAAATGTACTATAACCTTGACCTACACAAATAACTTGTGGAGGCAAAAGTGCAGTCTGGTTTCTCAGATTAATTCCTTGGCTTTACTCCCAAATTCACCAGAAGGCTGCTAATCATAAACCAAAAGGGTGATTTTTAACAAGTTTTGTGCTTGAGTCTGTAGGATTTGCTCATCTAAAGCACACTGCTGCTTTTTCTTTTGCATTTGCCTGCTTCCACTCAGTGTAAGCAGGTCCCTAGTTGCCTTTCAGCTGACTAGTGTCAATGATAATAACAATACATTTTTATTTTTAGAACACTCAAATCTAAAGGCAACTTAGCTCTGCACACGTATGCATGCACACACAAATGTAAGTAATATCTGAACATTTCCAAAGGGCAACAAGTCCTTTTGGAATAGTAATGAATAGAGAAATCATCTTGTGCCCTGCATGAGATAGGTGCATTTCAAGATTTTCCTGTATAGCTTCCATGAAAATTGGCCCCTAAGCAAGGGTGTGAGTCATTGATGAATACAGCTCTAAGGCTTCACGCTGTGCAGCAAGAGCTGTAAAAGGCATTAGAGGAACACAGGGGAGGAGGAGGAGAGAGAGAGGGGGTTAGGAGGTTATTAAATAAAACCTAGTAATGGTTTTATATGAACATTTTCTGAACAGTGTTTTGAAAACGTACATCCTAACCCACCAGATGCCATTCGGACTGCTGGCTGCAGTGCCTTCTGGTGGTTGGTGCTCAAAGGGGCTGTACAGACCCTTCGCCACTGACAGAAAGTCACCTTTTGTCTATACCTGAAGGGATTTGTTGTTTCAGCGACCCTTGCAGTCTCAGAGAAAATTCAGGTTGTACAAGTAAAATAAATTACCCTACATTGGTATGGCTTACAGTAATTTTCCAAGTGAATATTCCAGAAAAAGCATGTTTTTTTCTCCTCTGCACCCACATCCACCACACAAAAGCCCATGCCCGCAGCACTATACCAGCAAGTCACAGCCTGCACCAGCACAACTATGAAAAAAGTATGGAACAAGCCAATGAGAACCTATTGGTGACAAATTTACACTTCCTCAAACTCCAGAGGTATTTGATTTTGACTCATATATGTCTTTTTTTTTTATAAGACAAATGTATTAAAATTGGTGTCAATTTATATCATTCACTGGCTAGCAACAGACTATGTGTAACTGCTAACACATCAGGCCTGGATTACGAGCAATTTTGCTTTTTATGCAACTGTGTTCCTCCTATCTAAGTCAGGAGATCCAGGTTTCAATAAAGACATCAGATTTTTAGTCAATACATAAGTCATTATCATGCCGGATTCTCCATCCTTCAGACTTCCTGCATGTTCTGATCTCATACTCACTTGTACAGTCCCCTCAATCTCTTTTCCCATTTTTGCTTCTTCCATTGTGTTGGCAATCATCTGAAAGAAAAGATACAGTATGTCCCATTACATCCCATTATCAAACTCCCTGAGACTTACAAGAGGAAAAGGTTCACATGTGAAATTTATTATAAGCAGTGATTAAATTACACTAACTGGCTACGTTGGTTTAGTTGTAAATAATCAAATAACCCTTTAAATGAGTCTTTTTTCAGTAGATGGCTTAGATGTACAGATGGGAAAAAATGTTTTCCTCTATTTTAGATAACAAAAGTATGACTTGTTAGAAAGCAAATGATAACTGAAATCCTTATTTTCGTACAGATAACCATTTAAGGATCTTGGGCATAAACAAACAAAAAATGAAATTAATTTTTGTTTTTTAACAGGCTCAAGAGGAGATGCAAGTCTTTTAAAGGCCAGAAACAGTGGGTTTACATTTATGTAATTTGAACAAATGGGCACAGTGGTCTACATAATTGGAAAGTCAATCCAAAAGGTATGTTAATAGAGGAAAAGTTTGTTATGTTACAATTACTTTTGTTTCTCTAACAGCTTTAAAAATAACACACATAATTTAGAAAAAAAAAGTGCATATATATATATATATTTTTTAAGAACAGTAGTTATATATTCCCTTTTAACTGAGGAGCCGATAACTGCTGTTAAAAAACCCCCAACAGAACCCCCCCCTGCAATGCACAGGCACGCAGCACCATCTGCTGGGCTAGCACAGCTGTCAGGCATCGAGGCACTTCCAGACTCTACCACCACAGGAAGAAGAAGGGAAAAGCCACACAAACAAAAGCATATCATGGACATTTGTTTAGTCAGGATCAGACAAGAGAAATCAAGGGGTGTGGAATTTCCATGGAAATTGTGAAATAATACTCTTCACTCATATAACACTTTATAGTTTTCAGACACTACGTATAAATACTGTACTCACAAAAACATATGAACAAAGCACTTATGATTACAAAAATTCAGAAGTTCAGTACGTGTTTTAAATAACTGCATCAAGATTGATCTAATTTGGTTCCTTGCATGTAAGTATTATGGTACATGATTATAAATTACCATTTTTTCAGTGGATGCTTGCTTGGCTAAAACAAGATTACCAGGTGCTCATCACTGCAATGCCATATTACATTACAGATGTTAATTTAAAATCCCTGGAAGGTGAGTTGCATTTACTTTTCACAGACAGTGAGTAAAAGGAGGTTCTCATTTTGGGTAGGGAAGGACGGGGCCCCTCGTATGTACACAGTGATGTGCCATTGTAGTCTCTGCTGTCTTTCTAGTAGCTTGTAGTATCTTTCGAATTCAACCTTTTCATTGAGTCAGGTCACCTAACGGCACTCCGCAATACCTAGCTCTTGGCACGCTACCCTCCAGCGGGTCAAAGAGCACAGTACTTAGCAGGAGCCCTTTCACCTGACACCTTCCAAACAGGTGGAGCTTCCGCCTTGTTATCACAGCAATGCATCACCTCTGCACTGATCCCTTTTGTGCTCATCCCCATTTCTGATACAGTGTCTGATACAGCTGCTGCTCCTAAGAATTCTTTCTGAAAAGCCAGCTGTCTTCACATGTCAGTCTTCTAGAAATCTCCTCCACATATACTAGAATCAAGAATACATTTATCTTAAAAAGCCTGATTTTTCTGCCTATAGAAATTTCCCTTCTTAATGGACATACATCTCCATTATCTTTTGTCCTCCTGCAGATGACCATCTTTGTCTTGTCCACACTGGCAATGTAGGTCAAACCATTCCACATTCCTCTGGAAGACACTACCCATACTCTGCACATCATTCTCAGCATCAGACGGACATCATCACAGAGCTGCAGACTGTAAAAGCGTACGGCAAGGAGATCAAAAGAGGGCTTTGGCCGTCACAACTTCATACTTTCCAGAGGGCAAGCACAAGGGTCACGGGAGGCTGCTTGCTGCCTATTACTGTCTCGAGCCACTACATTTTCCTGTTGTTTACCAGGACTGCCAAGCTTGTTTCTTCAAAAATACGATTCAGCTCATCTTAGAACCATCCATGGCCCACTGTGCCACGTCAGACAACAGAGGCAAAAAAGATCTTCCTCACAACCTCTGTATTTGTTGTAGCTTGGGGCACTGAGCTATGCACCATTCGTCTATTTTTAAGAAATCAGGTTGCCTCCTCACATTGCTCCTCTTTTTTCTTTCAATATTTTTAAGAATAATGCAAGACTTTTCTCAGGGGGGTGATCAGTGAAGTGACAAACAATCGCAGACCAGCAATCACCTGCACCATCCTGCAAGCGGCTATTTTGGTGCATCCTCAACAGGCCTGACTTCCACTGTTCCTTCAGTGATCTTTTCTTCTCTGAAAATATTATTGCATAACTTATGCAGATATCTAGCAAAATCAATGTCTCCTGCTGTAGTCAGTGTTGCTACTATGCCATAGGCCCATGTTTTATAACAAACCTCACTGCAAACTCCTCGCTCCCCCAGACCACCTCCCAACCATTCGTTGGTGCTTATTGCTGTTTTGCTTGGGCACTTTTTAACACTTTAACGCCTTTAGTGTCCTTTCAGACGTTTCATCCAGACAATGGAGTAAACAGTCTGGCACAAAGGGTTTCTGCAGCCAGACTGCGCGTCCTCCCAAGGCAGGCGCTCCTTCCTCCATCTGCGGAGGATGGAACTCAGCGGCACGGGAAGATCTGCAACCCAAAAGTACGGACGGGTTCAAAAAGGTAACGCCTAAGTTTATATAGGATATGGAGTTTATGGTCACCTGAAGGCAGTCTCTAGCTCAGGGGACCCACCTGTGTGTCGCCGGGAGGTAACGCCAACGGCCCGCTCAGAAACAGCCCAGGTCCCGCGCACCCTGCTGGAGATCCGCCATGAGGGAACCCCGCAGCGGGTGAGCTAC